AAGTCACAGCGATAACAGTAACATGGCCGTCAAGCTTCACCGTTTAAGTTGAACTTTCCCTCCTTCTATTCTAACCTCCTTGGCTATCATTAACCGTCAATTTTTTTTAATGTTCTGTAAAAATGAAAGAAAAGATCGGCAAGAGTTTTGTTAGATTTCGCTGCATGTTTTTTGCAAGAAAAGCTTCATTGCTATGCTGTTGTGCATCTTCAAGATCAGAAATATTGGCCAATTTTTGCTTTCTCATTGTTAATAGCTATTCTAGTAATCTAGGGATTGTCTAATAAATCGAATAATGGATTAAACTAAAATGACTAACAAAATATCGCTATTCACTTCAACGTTCAATCCTTATTTCCCCAATGATCTGTCTCGAAAAATATTTTAATGTGTTAATATTGATCCTAAATTGTCGAGCGCTCAGAGAGAACTAAACTTTTTGATTGTTCTGTGTCCGGGGCACACGAAAAGAACTAAAATATTTTTACTGTTTAGTTATTTCTCTTAGTAATCACTATTTCTAATTACTTTCATTTTCAAAAGTTATCATTGATCAGCTGAATATGCTTGTAGCGGTAACTATTTTTATTACGACAATACAAATAATGATATTCGCCCACATGGACGGATGTCCTGTGATGGACTCTAAAGGGAAACTAGCTCCTATCCGCTTTATGCATGAAGAACACCACGAAAACGTCCATGCAGCCAACCCGTTTGCCGAAATCTCCAACCTTCCATTGTTTCGTCTTAATGCTGTCCAACAATTTCAGCTGATGTCTTTGTTTTATAGACTGTTTTATGTTAAGCTTTATTGAGTGATATGAGATATTTGAGTTTATTGATTCTAATCGTGTTGAACCTTTGGATCTTTTGGTTTTGAGGAACCTGCATTGATCCATTGTATTCTTATTTTTTTGCACTAGGCTTCGGATTAATTTTCGGAACTGAAGAACTTCTATAGATATAGGGGTTTCGAAAGAGTCAATGGCTTGAATTGCTGCTCTTGAATCTGATAGCAGGAAAACATTCTTGAATTTAAAATGCAATGCCAATAATTGTGTCAGGGCAAATCTAAGAGCGTCCCTCTCACCATCAAATGCATTTCGACTTTTCCCAGCAGAGGCATAGAAGGGGAAAAGGCTACAATAAACTTCCGAACTTTTGCCATGTTTCAATGACCTATTAGGGTGGAAAATGAAGAAGTCTGAAATGGAAATTTGGTAGACGAAAAATGCGTATGTTGATAATTTAAAGCAGAGCTTCTTAAACTTTTTTCATTCAAGACCCCTCTGTATCAGCGTGATTTTTAGCAGCCTCAGATATTAAATATGAAAGAAGTGTATTTTCCATAAGTAATTTATTACTTTGGTAAACAATAGGCATATGAAAATTAGTAGTTTTACAATTTGTTTCAAGTGTACAAAAAATTAATGAAAAATATCATATTTCGATTAGACGAGTGTCGTGAGTTTCCCTGCATAACAAAATAAACCTTGATGCAGTTTTTGACATCGCTGGATGCAAAGCATCTTCAACGTTTTTCAGCAAAAGTATTTGGATTCAATAAACGTTAAAGCGGAGAAAGTCGCTTCATAAAAGTGTGTAAATCTGAATGTCAGAAACACATTGAATGCCATTTCAGACATTCTGGGAAATTAGTTTTAGCTTCGATACGGAATTCTGTGAAGGATTTTTGTGAAACCTCAAGTTTTGAGTCTCTGGATTGCTAATCAAATTCCTCTTGGACTATATATAGCATAGGATTAATCTAATTCATGTCAATCAAAAATTGTTTTTGAATCAAAGATAACTTTTTGAAACCAAAATTCAATATAAAACATTTGCAAAATTGGGTTTTGTTAAATGATCTATACTAATTTTTACAATTATTGCAAGTTTTACAGTAATTTTATTTCAATAATGAAATTATTTTCAAACAAAAACATTTTGAATAACTAATTTTTTTACCATAGTCTTCCAAATGTTGGATTTTTTGAAAAAACAATGTTTTATTATTCGAAATAAATATATTGCTATTTTCTTGAACAAGAGAAGCTGAGATTGTTTAATTTCTCAAAAATATGAGAAAAATAGCACAATTTTGATAAATATAAGTCATTTTGAAAAGAGTATTTCTGTTCGATGCGAAATACAACAATTTCGTTTTACAATTATCCTTAATTTTCTCCCTCTCGATATCCTTCTTACTTCGTGTAATACTAAATTTTTGTATTCGAAGTCCATGTCTTTTACAAATATTTGAAAAGAAACAGATGTTAAGTGTCCGGCATTTGATTAATTGTATAATTTTATGGCATCCAATTTGTTCAATTGCGCTGCAAATATTTTTGCTGCAAGGGCTTCTCGATGGATTACAAAGTGTTTAAAATTGCGATCATAACCAACAGTTTTAATAAATGATTTTAAACCGATATTTTTGCCCGTCATTTCTTTCGCCCTCTCTGTGCGTACACCAGAAAATTTTCCATTGTAAGCCTTCAGCTTTAAAGCATTTACCAATACTACAAAATATGTCTTTCCTCTTACATATTCTTTCAAAGGACCATAAAATAACAATTCTTTATCGATACTTTTTTATAAATCCAACTGATTAAGAAATTTTGGCTTTCTTTATAGTAATAATTTGCCCAAATCGGTCGTTGCTAATTTCAGAAATTCTGTTGGCAACAGTGTCGTTTGAGAAAGTACGTCTCAATATTTCTTCTCAATATTTTCGTCACACTATTTACTTTCATGAAGCATTTTTAACATTTTAATAGTAGAAAGAAATACAAGATATTCTCTAATGGTGTATGGCTGTTAGGTATCATACATTAGAAGAAGCCCTTCAAAGATTTTTTTATGAAGAAACAGATGATGATAATGTTAATAATGACCAGAATGAAACTGATAATGTTGTTGTTCCCCCAGAAATTGCGGAGGCTAGTGACGAAGAAGGAAGGAATGGCAATGTTTTAAATAATGATAATGATATTTTACCAAATGATACTGCTGGGGAAGTTACAATTCACGTAAGTAGTAAGTTTCAGCCTTCTAAATGCATTTATAGTCATACTAAAAAGTTTAAAAAGCAGAAGACTGAAATCTTGAAGTGGATAAAAAAGGAACTGTTAGTTATGTCTCAGTAAGAACAAGAAGAAAGAGATAGAAGAGAAATTATAAAAGACAAAATACAAGGTAAAACTAGTGCACAGATTTTCGATTTTCTTTTTGGTTTAGACATTTACACTCTTCTCGTTGAACAGACAAATATATACGCTCAAAAAAAAAAAAAAAAAAAAAAAAAAGGGGGGGGACAGAATTTAGGGGGGGAGGGGGGGACAGAATTTATTGCATCTGAAGCCTATAGGAGAAGATTTATTGGAATATTATTGCTTACAGGATATCATTCTTTACCTCAAGAAAAATTTTATTGGTCTTTTGATAAGGACATTTCTGTTCCTGTTGTACGAAAATTGATATCACGTTTGCAGTACAGGAATATGAAGCAGAATTTGCATTTGACAATAGTCAAATTGACAATACTGATAAATTATACTAGGTGAGACCGTATCTAAACTTACTAAACATCACCACTTTTTACTACTTTAAATATAAAGTCTCTTTTAGATTTCAGACGCGAGAATGCATTATTCCTTTTGCAAACTCCTATTGAGAGTGTAGAATTAGCCAGAAATAGATCAGCAACAGGAAGACCTAGTAAATTCAGCATTCAAAAACCATTGCATGGAGATGGTATATATTTTATCGTAAAGTCTGTTGATAACAAAAACTTTGTTGTAAAGAGTACCATAACCAGACTGTTTATAGATGCAAAGTATGTAATGTAGCTTTACATCATGATTGTAATCAAGCTTTTCATGCTTGAATCTTTCAATTGAAATAATCTGTATTTGTAAAAGAAATACAATGTATATTTTAATATTAAATTAATTACAAGTAAAGTGATTTCTAGATTTATAAAACGTTATACAGCTAAAAAGAAATCCTGCGCTCCACTCAAAAGAAACATCACACGAATACAATCTTCCTCACTAAAAATCCGTAGTCCTATTCCGCTGACGTTGCGCGAACGCAACACTCGCTTTTTCCACAGGTAAGAGCATTTTTTTTTATTTTCAATGTAAATTTATGTTATAAATGCTTAATTTAATATTTGTTATTATTTTCATGAGAAAAGAAACATTCCTTGCAGTTTTGGGGGTTAAATGGGTTAATTTATTGACATAAGAAGGATGCTTGGATTCAAGATGTCTTTTTAATTTTGATCGTTTCATACTCTCTATAGGCAAAACGTTATTGCAGATCAAATAAAGAAGTTGTTCATCAGAGTTTTTGAAAATAAAGCCCAACTGTAAAAATGTCTCCTCGTGCTTTTTTTCGCATCTTAGATGCCTCTCTTACAAGATCCGACTTAAGAAGACTTTATAGTATTGCCATCTACATCATTTCCTCTGTAATTCAAGTTCAACCGTTTGTCTATGAGTAAAAATAAATCGGCTAAAATTCCATAAGCGGGGTAAGTTAGCGCTAAACTATTTTGGCCTTCAAAATTTGGCGAATTTTTTAGGCGGCAATGAAAGCACTAAGATGTGATTTTTAAACGTCAACAGAATAGTAACTTTAAAGTTTTGCAGTAGTGAAATGCTGTTATTTTATGTAAACAGAAAAGTAAAATGAGACGACAAAATACTAGATGAGTAAAACAAAGTCCAACAGCTTTGCAAGTAAAAGCATAGTCCTATATATATGTAATTCATCATAAAATAGTAGAATGAACAATTCTTGTAAATAATTATTGAGTAAATAAATGTATACACTTATCAGATCAGAGCACTGCGAAGTTAGTTTTAAACGTAAACAGAATAGCAGTTTATGTATGCGTATTCAGCATCGTAAACTAACTAAAATATTCAACTTACTATCGTCGTGGAATTCAACACACTAAACAACTTTCGTTCAAAGCTTTAAATATTCCACATCTTTCGATTGCCACATGCAAGAAACAAAACTAAAAAAAAAAAAAATAACTAAATAAAATCGAATGAAAACATTCATAAATTATAAACTTCATGTCATATGAAATCTAACATTCTCCCACCAACAACAGCTTAACCCTCTGCAAATATTTATATAAATATCATATTAAACATATATAACAATATATTAAACAGTAAAACTTTTAAAAACAAACACAGTATTCCAAAATTAAATTTTAAAAAAATCTGGCTACACTAAATTCTCGCTCTTTCGGTTACCGAAATAAAGCTCTAGGTTTGCAACAAGAAAACATATAGCAGGAAACCACAATCAAATTAAAATCGCGCCAAATAAAAAACTCTCGCCAAGCTTGGCGCTCACCCCGATTATGGAATTTTAACTAATAAATGTCTCATAGTAATTAATCAAATAAATACCATCCTTAGCCGCGTAAAATATACTAAAATATAAACTGTATTATTCTTGCGATACACACACACTTCTTGTGATGAAACAGAAACAACTGACTAAGCTTTATGATTACGGTACCAGCGCCGTCGCCATTATTCTCAACACCCCTGTGTGATGCAAGGTGTAACGAACTGTGCTTTTGTAGCATATTTAGATTCTAAAATAACTCATATGCTGAAATTTCTATGCAACACCCCTATTATTGTACGCTAGGTGGTATTTTTACGTAAATATAATTTACAGTTTAACTTGGCCAGTATTACGTTTTATAATTTCACTGTACAGATATTAAAGGCAATGAAGGAATTACAATTGATGTGTTTTCAAACTTAGATATCTGAATTAATCATTCTCTACTCCAGCATTTCGCTTTGAGATTTAATTTGGGTTCACTACCCACAGTTTAAGAAACACTGGCTTAAAGGAAAGAATGAGTGTAAAATTAACGAATACCAGAAAGTGAGTGAGGAACTCCTTTTTACTTCCTTGTACGAAGTAAAAAGGAAGTATTGTAATCGCTAAAAGCTTCAGGCAGCATATTTCAACGAAAATATCCACTTTGACCGCTTTCGAATGCAATTTAACGATGTTTTTGCGTGATATCTGTACGTAAGGACAGAATAAATAAAAGACTCTTTCCTCCAAAAAAAAACTAAAAAAAACTGTTTTAAATGAATTCTGAAGAGAATTTTTCGTGGCGTCTGTACGAACGTATGTACGTACGTGCGTACGTACGTATCTCGCATAACTCAAAAACGAGTAGCCTCAGAACGTTGAAATTTTGTATATAAGACTACTACAACATGTAGATGTGCACCTCGTATTTTGGTTTCAATCGGCCGCGCCAAACGTATATAAATATATTTATAAATATATCCACCCTGTTACCCGGCTCAGTGATCTCAGTTTCTTTACTCTTATATGTTTGTAAATAGTACATTTTTTGCTTTAAAAATGATTGAATTATGTTGTTTTTATCTTCCGGTTAAGGGTTTTAGGTGCTACTTTGGTAGGCGGTTGCACGGATTTTGGCGACTTTTTGGCGATTTGCCGTTTGGCGAATAATACAACTTGTGGTAAACCCATTGCTGGATAAGTTATTTATGGTAACCGATACTTTGTTGTCATTTTATTAAAAAAATAATGCGTTTTATTATGCATAACTTATTACGTGTTTTAAATATTATTTATGGCTTCTAAATATTAAAAATCAATTTAATTTTACATTTTTATTTGAAATAAAAATTTTGTTGTTTATAATATTTTATATAATTTTATGTTGTGGATGATATAATCAATGACGTCACCTTACTTAAAAAGTAATTGGTTTTATTAATATCTATAAATTTAATCTAATTTTTTAAACATTATTTATGGCTGTTAAATATTAAAATACAATTTAATTTTGCATTTGTTTTAAAAATGATTTTATTATGAATGATTGTTTAAATAATTTTAATTCTATGCGTGATGTAATCAGCTCCCTGATTGGTTACTGAATATTTGTGCATTACTGCGCCATTTTAAAATTTTATTATTCATCTCTTCGATTTTCTCGGATTTCAAATGGAATGGATATCTCCGTTTCGAAGACGAATGTTGTTAATGGTAATTACCAAGAATTATTGGTATTGGAATAAAAAAATTGCCCTTTTGAGACTTTATTTTGGCCAACCTGTCTTTCCTAATCAAAGATTTATTTATAAATTGTTAATAGCGTCAGAGGAAATTTTGGAGGAAACCTCGCTAATTGCATCTTCAATGAAGTGCGAGATATTTGGATAACAGATGAAGATGGTTAAAAGATCCGATTCAATTATGATTTCGATTTTTTTGTGGTACTTATCAATAAACAAGAGGTTAAATTATTCAAAAAAAAGTAGGTACATATTTTTCTTTTATTTTATAATTGTATACTTCAATTTTTGTTAAAAAAATTAATACCCTATTTTCAAAAATTGCTGAGATAATTATTTTCACATATGTTTTAATGTTAATTATATTTATATAACGTATTTAAAGTATTTGAATTTAATAATATTCTAATTCTTTTAAATGTTGGTATGATGGTTTTTAATTCGATATTCAATTTCAGTAATATTTTAATCTAATTAAACGTTGGCACAATGTTTATATAGCGGTGTTTTTATTCTCTTTTTTGCTATATGAAAGTAATAATAGCCTCACTTTAGTACTTTATACTCATAGTAAATGTATTTATTTACACTTGCCTGTCATCTTAAAAAACGACATTTTCAACAAAAAATTAATCCATTACTTTTAACGATATTTATTTTTTTTTTTTTAAGTTTCGAATACTTTACTATGCGTAAAAACAGCGTTTTTCAAGATGTCTGATGATTGTAAAAATCGCGCCAACGTAAATCGCCAAAAATCCGTGCAACCGGCTGCCAAAGTAGCACCGGGTTTTAAGCCTTTAGTAAATCTGTATGCAATATTTTTAAAATTATCAACAATTTTAAAATTGTTTAACTGCCGCTAAGCCTAATTTGATGGAGGCCATTGATGTTTACATTTGAAACAGGAGACTAGTGGATTTGTTGCCAATCTAGAGAAACTTAGCTTCGCAACAACAAAGATAACGCATTCATTTATTATTGCCAATTAAATCATGCTTAATTCTTTCTGGATTTTTTTCGAGGAAATAAGCGTATGAGATTTACTTTGTAATTTTTAATATAAATATTTTGAGTTTTTATGTATTTTTGTCTTCTCGCGAAGTGAGAACTGAATTAATTAAATGAGAAATACTCAATCGTCTGTGAAAAACTGTTTCTTTTTTATTTTTATTTGCTTAATTTCTTTTATACATCGTTCTAGCTTTATTATAGTATTTGAATAGAACATGTGGCAACGATTAGATTATTCTTTAAATGATATACATTTTGTGCATTCTGAGTTATAATATGAGCGAAATATAATACTGTTAAGTAAGCCTAGCGCCAGAGCGTCGCTATGGTAAACAAAGTGAATTTTAAAGAATGCATTTATTCTATTGTGGTTTATGCGCTGTCGGCGAAGTAGATTTAATTCAATCCAATAAGTTTAAATGAAATGCAAGAAAAAATGCGTATAATTTAATATTCCGTACAAGGAAGTCATGTGGTGTACACATCAGATTTTTTTTTCATTTGTATGTTTAAACAGCAAAAGTAAAAAATCTGATGTGTACACCACATGACTTCCTTGTACGGGATATTAAATTATAAGCATTTTTTGTTGCATTTCTCTTAAATTTATTGGATTCAATTAATTTCGTCGATAGTGCATAAACCACAATAGAATAAATGCACTTTTTTTAAATTCACTGTATTTGTTTGTATCATAGCGACACTCTGGCCCCCGGTTCACTTAATAGCGTTAAATTTCATTCATTATTTAACTCACAGATCACAGATCATCATTCGTGTAAAAGGCATGCGGCCTGTTGAGGCCTTTACCAGTCTATATTTCTTAAGTTCCTAACGGCATAAAGATGAGGAAAAGAAAATTCGAACAAGTGGAAAGTCTTAGTACGACGGCATCTGCTGACTTCAATAATCTTCAGTAATGACGTATCTTTGGACAGACGTTCATGGAGCGCCATGGGATCAAGGAATGGCATAACTTTGAAGAAGTAGATTTCCCTTGAGATAGTTTCTTGAGACAAATTCTTTTCGGGACAAATACAATGAAGAGCATAAAAATAAGTTGCAAAAAGAGATTAATTAACTCAGAATGCAAGAAATTTATATCATCTTAAGAATTATCTAATCGTTGCCACATATTATATTCAAATACTTTTAATAAAGCTAAAACCATGTATAAAAGAAATTAAGTAAAGAACAAGAACAAAGAAACAGTTTTTCACAGACGATTCAATATTTCTCATTCAATTAATTCAGTTTTCACTTCGTGATAAGGCAGAAATACATAAAAACTATCTGTATTAAAAATTATGAAGTAAATCTTAAACACTTATTTCCTCGAATAAATTCTAGAATGGATTAAGCATGGTTTAATTCCCAATAATAAAAGAAGGCGTTAGCTTTGTTTTTGCGAAGCTTACTTTCTCTAGATTGGCAACAAATCTACTATTCCGCTGTTTCAAATGTAAATAAACATTGCCACCATTGCAAAAATAATTCAAAGATAATAACAACATAATTCTATCATTTTTAAAGCAAAAAGTGCACAATTTACAAACATATATGAATAAACAAGCTGAGATTGCTGAGCCGGAGTAACAGAGTGGATTATATATATATATATATATATATATATATACTTTTGGTGTGGCCGATGGCAACGAAAATACGTGGTGCACATATACATGCTATAGCTATTCTATATACAAAATTTCAATGTTCTAAGTCTACTCGTTTTTCAGTTATACGAGATACGTACATACGTACCTACGCACAGACGCCACGAAAATTTCTCTTCAGAATTCATTATAAATCAGTTTTATAATTTTTTTGGTGGGAGAGCCCTTTATTCTATCCTTACCTACGGATGTCACGCAAAAATATCGTTAAATTGCATTCGATATGATGGTCA